ACAAGGTGGGATGTGCTTTCAGGAGCAGCTGGAGGAGTACACGAGCAGCCATGACCTGGCTGAGGGCTGGGTCCTGGCGCAGAGGTTTGGAGAGGGAGGAGATAAGTTGGTGCCGGTTGAGTCCATGGAGAAGATCCAGTGGCAGCACCAGACGCTCGGGGTTGATCATAAACCCGCAGTCAGGTATGGACCCGTGTAGGGGCCAGGCTGTGGGTGATGGATACGCATGTGACCAGTACCCACAGAAGACATGCGACCCAACTGTCCCAGATCCCTTGAGCATGTCCAGCACAGACCCCTCGCTCCCTCTGGTGCAGCAGGAACACGTCCCTGCCCAGCCGCCTGTGTGCAGGACGGTGCCCCCTCGTAGGTTGATCCTGCTTGCTTGTGGCAGCACCTGCACGGGATAAAGATGATACCGGAGGGTTTCTGAGGCACTCGGGTTTGGGCTGAGCAATGTCGCAGAGGTAATGCAGTGATGAGAGAGCTCATATTTGGTTTTCATAACAGAAGGCCATGTGCAGGGCCGGATTCCCCCACTCAGCCCCAGCCTGCACTGGGGTGCAGGGATGCTCTCGTCCCTCCCACAGCTGTTCCGGCAGTCCCTGGGTGTCATCACTGGTCCACCACTGCTGCTGTCTCCACTCCAGGCTAAGGCAGGGATGCTTGGGCACTGACCCATCTTTTCCCTTGTGTGATTCATCCATTGGTTCTGCTCCAGCTGGGAACACGTGGTGGACCTGACGTACTCCATGCACTTGGGAAAGAAGCACAGATTCATAGAGCAGGATGAGGCTGCGGTGCAGAAGTTTCGGTATGAGTGCATCTCCTAGAACAGTACTGCAGCGCCCCAAGGGGCAGCTGGCTGGGGCCTGGACATGCCTGCAGGGCCAGGACTGGCTTCAGGATCAGGACTGGGGAGGATGGGTGTCATGAGATGCCTTTTACATTGATGCTGCTCAAGCAAAGATGGCCTTTGCTCTGCAGAGCATCGGAGCAACCACGTGGTGCTATTCCCACTGGGCTGGGGTGGCCATAAACACTCAACGTGGTGGCAGTGAGATACAGCTGTCCCATCTGCCTGCGACGGGGACAACTGCCCAGTGTCATCCCAGTGTTGGTGACCATGAGATGCTGGAGCCAATCTGTGCTGGGGCACCTGCACAGTGCTGGTGGGAAGGTTTGCGGTGCAACCTCATCTCCCAGTCCCATTGACATGGAGCCCACCTGCAGGTCTGTGCCCCCGGGCTGGAGCTACGAGCGCGACATGGAGCTGGGACGCTTCCTGTACGATCACAGCGAGAGGAAGCTGCAGCACAGGGACTGCGTCAAGGAGCATGTCAGCAGCATCGAGGTCTCCTCGCATGCGGTGCGTAGCGGGGGCTCCTCCACTGCTTAAAATCAGTGTGAGATACACGAGCATTGCCACAGCTGTGGGGAAGAGTGGCCGGCAGCGGCTGCCCCCTCCGCAAGGGGCAGGGGATGGTGGTGGGTTTTGCTGCTCTAGCGAAGCTGCGAGGAGTTGGGCATCTGGAGTAAAACCCCATTGTGTCTCTGGGGCACTGCCAGGGGTTCATGGCCGTGCCTGGCTTGCTCTGTGGGGAGCCACCATCCACCCAGAGCCCAGTGAACTGAGGGGCTGGCCCGGTCCTGACCTCCTCTGGTCGCATGGGACCCATCCTGGGGGTGGCCAAGGCATGCCCAAGGATGCTCAGCTCTCTCCCTCCACTTACTCTTGCAGGAGAGCTGCGGTGCAGCCCATCTGACCGACGATCAGACAGACACCTTCTGGGAGAGCAACGGGCCCTCGGGGCAGCACTGGGTGCGGCTCAACATGAAGAGAGGTGCCGTTGTCAAGTGAGACCTCAGGGTGTCCCCTCCTGCTGGCAGCTGTGTCAGGGACGGGCAGGGCGCGGAGCAAAGCACCATCTTCCTCTTGAAATCAGCTTTCCCCGAGCTGCAGCTGGGGGCTTGGGGTTGAGGTGGGAGGCAGCTGCTGCCAGATGCACCCCAGGAGGACATAGCCTTGCCCCTAGCCCTGGGACAACTCCAGGGGCATCTCTGTGCCCAGGCAGCTTGAGAGGGGAGGACAACACGGCCCATTGCTCTTCTAATTCCCAGGAAGCTGTGGCTGATGCTGGACAGGCAGACCAACTCCTACATACCCAGGCGGGTGGCCGTGTATGGCGGGGCACCAGACAGGCTTCAGCACTTGAAAACCGCCCTTGTTAATGAGTGAGTAACGAGCAAGGAGCAGCCTGGGTCCAGTTTAGGCCAAACACCCAAGCTGTCTCTGCATCCTGAGCAGATGCTAAGGAAAGGGCTGGGGTCAGTCCTAAGCGACCCAGTGGTGACGGTGCCTCTCCGTGGGTTCCTGGGTGCAGGTTACGTTGGTCTCTGCAATCATGGTGGCCTGCCACCTCCACATGCCAGCCAAGTGCCTTCATCTCCACTCCTGCACCTCATCCGTGTGCTTCCTCCTGCCTGGTGACTTAGAGGGTCTCTCCTCCTCCTTCTCCTCGCCTCTAGAAGCACGTGCTGCTACCGTGTCCTTTCTGAGCATCTCTGCCATGCTGTAGCCAAGAAGTCCTGGGGTGCTTCACCTCTGCCTCTTTGCTCTGGCTCTGCAGCACCCTTCTCAAGGCAGGCAGGGGTTTACACAGAGGTGCAAAGATCTCCTCCTCCTTCCCTAAAACTTCCCTGTTTGCCTGTTTTTGGCTGAGCAGTGAGACTTGTCTGAAGAAGCATGCGCAAGACTGCTGAGATGTCTTTCCCGGTAGCAGGAGCCAACTCCTTGCTGCATCTGGGCAGTCACAGTGGTTTTTCCCCATGTGCCAATAGGTCTTTGACGGGACCTTGCCAAAGCCTTTGGAAATACAAATGAATCACCAAATTGCTCATCTCCACAATTCCCCATTTCCTTCAAAACACATCACCCTTATATGATCAGCTCGGCTCGGCTCGAAGGATGGTTGTGCTGATTTGAGATGTGCCAGGACCCTCCAGGAACAATGACACGCTCTTGGCCATCCTACCTGTCTGTCCTGCTTTGAATTCATGCTCTTTTCTGGCTTTTTGGATGCGGCTTCCACCTTCTTCTGGACATCTCTGGGCCTGTGACAGCCTCTCCTCTCTGCTCAGCCTCCTCCTGCCACAGCCCTGGTGAGGCAGGGGAAGCTCTCACCATGGGTAGCGGCACATTCTCAGCTGGGGAGCCAGTGGCTCGCGCCTCGCTGGATGCCTTACTGGTGTCTGTGCCTCATGGCTCTGCTATCTCCCTCTGTGCTCTGTGCAGGAACAGATCCCGGCACGCCTGCATCTTCCGTGACATGAAGACTCACCTCCCAGTGCTGGAGATCCGCATCTTGGAGTGTCAGGGTGAGCCTGTGCTGTGGGACTGGGGTTGCCAGCCCATCCCGGCCCTAAACCTGCAGCTCTTCCTGCCGCACCAGCTGTTTTTTGGGGTCTGTTGGAGAGAAGCTGGGGAATGAGCTTCATTTGGGATGCTGCAGGCACTGGGGGCTCCTTGCCCCTGAGTGCAGCATCCGAACCATGCCAGCCACACAGCTGCAGTCACACACGCAGCATCACTGTCCTTTCTTGGCAGACCAAGGGATCAATGTCCGCCTGCAAGGGATTAAGATCGAGTCCTTCTGGGAATGGGACCTGACCCTCAATGCTGACATGTTCCAGCCAGCCCGACTGGTGCGCTACCCTCTCCTGGAAGGGGTGGACGCCGACGTGCTGTACCGGCGGGCCGTGCTTATTCAGAGGTATGGTGCAGGGATGGCACCGTCCCCACAGTGAGCCCAGGCTCTGAGGACCATGCTCTGGCCTCTAGCAGGGGATTGCATGTATCTTGCTTAAAGACTGCCAGCTTCTTTCCCATATTCAGCAAGGACTTCTGCTTGCTGCTTTCCATCCGAACACGGCTGCTCGCAGTGCCTGGGGAGTATGGCACCAGCACAGGGTGATGGGGATCTGCAATGTAGAGTCTCCCACCCGGCTGCCTGCAGAGCAGCCTGAGGCTGGGGTCTGCCAGCCTGGCCCGACGGAGAGACCCTCTGCAGTGGGTCAGCCACAGTGTTGTGGTGTGGGTTGGGCCACCCTCTTTTGCAGCTTTCTCTTGGGGGGAATAAAATAACATGCTTGGCCAGAGGGTGCTGGTTGGGTGCTCCCCTTGGCATGCCGGTGTCCCTCCGTGGGCTGCAGGAGACCCACGTACAGGTGATGTGGAGCCCAGGCTCAGCATGTGCCTGGAGCTGTCTGCGGTGAGACACCAGGGGTGTGTTGGGCTCTGTGCGTCTGCCAACCCCCTTGCATCCTCACACCAGTCCTCGCCGGTTTCCAGGTTCGTCCAGCTCCTGGACAGTGTCCTGTGTTACCTGATCCCCGTCTCTGAGGACAGTATCGGCACCTTCAATGCAATCAGAGTGAGTGTTTGCTGGGCTCCTTTGGGATGGTGCCAGTAGGAGCATCATGTCACGGGCTTGTCTGGCTTCTCTGGGGGCTGTGGCATATCCCTTTTGATCCAATGGGGACAGACCAGTCCAGGGCTTATGCTGAGAGCTGCCGTGCTGGGCGTTGCCAAAGGGATGGAGAAGCTGAGCATCCCCTGCCACTCTGGGGGCTGTGCTTGGGGAAGGGTAAGAGGGCACACAGTGGCAGGATCAGGCCTCTGAACATCCCTGCTCGTCCCTTGGTAGAGCATGAAGCCCTTCCTGGTGCTGTCCAAGCAAAGCGCAGGCCTCATCGCCCACTGTCTCCAGTCCTCAGAGAGCAACCCCCCTTCCAACATGCCACAGCTGCACATCAACCGGCGGCTGGCCTGGGAGCACCGCTCCAACCCTGCGCTGGACCCCAGCTGCAAGAACACAAAAAAACGGCCCCTTCCCCCGTCCCATATCCCTGCCAGTTCAGCATTGCTTGTCTCCGCTGTGTCTCATCCCTCTTCCACTCTGCTCCCCTCCAGCTGTACAAAAGCCTCAGATCTTCCAAGAACAATCAGCCCCTGGACTACAGGTAGGTCTTCACGTCACATTTGTGGGGTGTCACTTCCCCGGAGCGGGCTGTGGGGGGATGTTGGGTGCTGCTGGCTGTCTTGGAGGAGGAATGCGTGTGGGGCTGTCGCTTCCCTGCAGGTGGCCCTTGAGCTACAGCCAGTGGTGGAAGTGTGAGTTCATCACCGAGGGCATCATGGACAACGGTGAGAGCTCTCCCCTCCCTCCCCAGGGCTCTCCCCTGGGCTTTCTCATGTTGGGGGGCAGCTTGGTGTGTTGCCTACTGCGGTGGAGTGCCCATGCTGTCCCGGCTGCTCTGTGGGAGGCGGCCCCACTCTGCACACATGGGGTGGTCCCTGCATCTCCCCTAGGCCCCTGGCACTGCCCCACAGAGAGGGGCTGGGTGGCTTAGCCAGATCCTGCAGCTCAGCATCTGGCCCCAGGCATGTCAGGCATGAACCAGCCTCTGCCCTCATTGCAGGTGGCGGTTTTCGGGACAGCCTGTCAGACATATCGGAGGAGCTGTGTCCCAGCTCAGGCGACGTCCCTGTGCCCCTGCCCTTCTTCGTGCGCACCTCCAACAAGGTTTGGCACCCCGCTGTCTGCCTGTCCCAGCCCTAGGGGGGCATCCAGCAGAGCCTGGGGGCTTTTGGGGTGTTAGTCCTATCTTAACGCTTGCAGGGCTATTGGCTGCGGGGGCTGTGCTTGTACCTGGGTGGTGAGATCTCCTGGAGGGGTGTAACGGGCAGGAGAGGCAGGCAGAGAGACGATGGAGAGGGAAGCTGCAGGGAGGGACCGTGCTGGGCTGGTCACATCTGTGTCCGCTGGTCCTAAGCCTCTCTCCCACAGGGTAACAGCAGCAGTGACGCCAGGGACAAGTATGTCCCCAACCCCTCCTGCAAGGACTTCCCCAAGTATGAGTGGATTGGGCAGCTGATAGGAGCAGCCCTGAGGAGCAAGGAGTTTCTGGTGAGCTGGGGCAGAGGGGCTGCCCTCGGGTGAAGGCGGGATGCAGGGAGGACACGTGTCTTTGCTCCCTCTGGCAGATCCTGGCTCTGCCGGGGCTGGTGTGGAAGCAGTTGGCGGGGGAGGAGGTCAGCTGGAGCAATGACTTGGTCACGGTGGACTCAGAGCTGGTGAGTGGGGCTGGGGGCTGGCAGGGCTGTGCCATGCACTCCTGTGGCTCCTCTGGCTCCTCCATGATGGCTTTTGCCCATGGGGGTTGCAGGTGAAGCTGCTGGAGGTGCTAGAGGGGGTGGACAGGGAAGCCTTTGAGTTCATGTTCGGCAGAGAGCTGACCTACACGA